TTCTAAAAATAACCTGCGACAGGTGAAATCTGTGATGTCGTCAACTTCATATTTTACAATGATTAAATCTGTTTTAAATCTGTAAAACCCTCAGCACAAACTTTATAAACTTTATTCAGACAGAACACTTTTTACATCCTTCTTCAAACTTGTTGCTGCTGTCGTCCTTTTGTTCTTTTCCTTCTTTATGTAACAAACTGAAGATTCATTTATTCTGTAATGGAGCCGACAGAGCAGAGTCCAGTACAGGACCACACCTGCACAGGACAGGACCGCACCTGCACAGGACAGGACCACACCTGCACAGGACAGGACCACACCTGCACAGGACAGGACCGCACCTGCACAGGACAGGACCGCACCTGCACAGGACAGGACCGCACCTGCACAGGACAGGACCACACCTGCACAGGACAGGACCGCACCTGCACAGGACAGGACCACACCTGCACAGGACAGGACCGCACCTGCCCGTTAACCCGAGATTATATCAAACTTTTGCATTGCCTACACCACAGACTGAACCAAGACTAATCCAGGACTAACCCAGGATTAAAACAGGACTAAAGCAGAACTGAACCAGGACTCACTGTCAGGACGGGCTCGGAGGTGACCACACCTCACGGAGGTAAACGTGGCATTTGCCCGATCGCGTTTTGTGGACAAACTGCTCGGCGTTTTCTCTCTTAAGTCCAAGATTAGTCCTGGTTTAGACCTGGTTTAGTCCTGGTTTAGTCTCCGTTAGTCCTGGTTAGGTTAGTCCTGGTTTAGTCCTGGTTTAGACCTGGTTTAGACCTGGTTTAGTCCTGGTTTAGTCCTGACTCACCCGTGTGTAAAAAAACCATGAAACAAACAGACTGTGAAAGATGAGTCGCGATATATCGAAGGACGACTGTAGCTCAATGTCAGATTCAGATTCAGAAAACTTTATTGATCTCATAAGACAATTCATTAGCAGCATCTCAGAGCAGTTCTCACTTCTCACAAACACAAACAAACACAAACACAGTGTGTCAGTCCATTACATCCACCAGTGCAACTCTAGAATAAACTACAAATTACAGAGCAAAACTTTCAGAAAACTGCACCATTAGAGTTTAACAACTTAACAGCAGAGGCACAAAAGAATTAGAGAAGCGGTTGGTCTTTCGTATCGGAGCAGAAAACCGACGCCCTGAAGGGCATCAGGATCAAATCAGGAGCCAGAGGATGGACGGACTGAGCCACGAGACACTTGGCTTTGCTCAGCACCTGCTCCTCCCACAAACAACTCAGCTCCGTCAGTTTGACCCTGTGATTTTCCAGCAGGTTTTAACAATGTTCTGAAGTTTGTTTTTATCCTTCACAGACAAGGATTGAAACCAGCGAATAAAAGAAAAAGTAAAAAGACTTTCCATAAAAGAACAATAAAAATGGTTAAGAATCATTTTGTTCACATTAGAAGAGTTCAGTTTCCTCAACAAATATAATCTTTGCTGCCCTCGTTTGACGACGCTTTCAGTGTTTAGGTCAAATTTCAGTTTATTGTCCAGATATTTGTAACTATCAACTATTTCAACATCATCACCGTGGACGACACTGACACTGTGGGAAGGTGCACGTCTAAAATCAATCACCATGTCTTTAGTTTTGGCAAAGTTCAAGTCCAGGTAGTTTTCCTCACACCACTGGACAAACTGCTCCAGCGCAGGACCATGATTTCCCTCAGATCCTGAAAGCAGCGACACCAGGACCGTGTCATCCCAATATTTGATGAGGCGTCTGTTTTCCTCTGAGGATCTGTCCGTGTACAGAATAAAAAGGAGAGGAGACAGAACACAACCCTGAGGAGAGCCAGTGTTGGAGATGGAGGGAGGAGACCATTGCCCATGAACAAAAACACGCTGGACCCTGTTGGTAAGAAAATGTAAAATCAATAAAAGAAGCTGATCTGGGAGATTAAAATCTGAAGCCACAGTCTCTGAATCAGAATGTGGGGCTGCATTTTGTTAAAAGCAGAGGAAAAGTCTGCAAATAAAAGTCTCACACGGGCCCCTGAGTTTTCAAGATGCTTATAAACAGTGTTCAATAAAAACAGTTTTGCATCCTCCACTCCCCGATTAGACTGATCTGCAAATTGTGTTGGATCCAGTTTTCCTTCAGTTCAAAACAAAATGTGAGTCTTTAAAATCTGTTCAAAAGTTGAGCCGTTATAATGTTTGTCCACCAGATGGCGCCAGTGCACTTTGCTTAAACAATGTTATGTGCAGTGAGACAAATTAATTTGAATGTGTAATTTCGTGTTCAACATAGATTAAAACCAAAATTCAGGTTTATGAGATTTGTTGTTGATAAATAGTAATTCTTGATCAGATTAGAGATTGTCATAAACGGTTGAAAGGTTAAAAGGAGTAAAAGGTAAGAACTGTAAGAGCTCATTGTTTTTATTTCTTTTTTGTTGTTGTAGTTTTTACGTCGTGTTCACAAACAAGGCCCAGAAATAAAAGTTGTGAACTGTCAGTATATGAGAGCAGCGTTTGACCCGGGACGCTACACCGGGAGCGTGGACAGACGGAGCTGGAGTCCCGTCGGTTTGAGCTCCCGAGGCAGAAGTGAAGTGGAGTAACGAGTCCCATTTGAAAGTGTTTTGGTTTTATTGTGTGTTTGTTCAGTTAAACATCGACGTGTGTGTGTTGGATTTGTGTCAGAAAAACCTGCGTTAGACGATTGAACAGTTTGGATTTAATATTTGATTTTCTCTTTATCATTTTCGTGACATCGTATTTTATTTTGTTTCCGTGTGTAGAAAATGTTGTCGCTTTTAGAAAGACACTGTAAATAAAATAATATATTCAGTGACTGTGATGTCGAACTTTTGCACCGAATACGAACCAGGACTGATCCAGGTCCAGGACCAGACTGGCTTTGACTCCGCGGGGTCCGAGCCTCAGCTTCGAGCTCCGGCCCTGACATGGGCTCTGAGCCTCCGTCTGGTCCAAGTCTGGTCCCAGTCTGGTCCCAGTCTGGTTCCGGTCTTAGTTCAGGTCTGGTCTTGGTCTGGTCCTGATCTGGTCCCAGTCTGGTCTAAGTCCTGGATTGGTCTCGGTCTCAGTCCCAGTCTGGTCCTGGTCTGGTCCCAGTTTGGCCAGGAAACGGTCGTTATCTGTTTTTTTTTTTTTTTTTTTTCATTTTTCATTTAAACACAAAATCAAAAACTGAAAAAATGAATCATTATCTGTTTTTTCATTTTGGTTTTGGAGACAAATAATGAAGAAAACTGTTGTTTTTTCATTTTCTTATTTTTGTTTTTATATTGAAAAACAAAAACACACGCTGGACTTCACTACTGTTTTATGTTTTATTTATTTCATTTGGTGCATTTGAATTTACTTTTATTACAGACGAGTTTTACCAGTACAATGTCAATTCTTATTTTCTTGACAATAACTCAGATTCTTTTCAGTCCAGTTCAAAATACAGAGTAAAAAGTACCAGAGTAAAATGTACTCACATAAAGTACCTCAAAATTAGACTTAAAGAGGAAGTATTATGCAAAATCATCAGGACATAAATGTACAAAAACATGACACAAAACTGTTCACAGAAACCGGACAAACCTGATGTTGTGATGTGGCTCTGAAGGGGGAGTGACTTAGCACGAGGAGCAAAAGGAGGGAGGACAAAACAACAAAAGGAACATGTTGATCTAAATCTGTTGTGTTACAGTTAATAGTCCAGAGAAGTCACATCCCCGTCTTTAAGTTCACTACTTTTACTTTTGTACTTTGTCACGACTCAAAGTCTCCACTGCAGTGACGACCAGAGGAGCAGAGTTTGAACCTCCTGAATTTAAACCAGGACTGAAATATGGAAACAGTTTCTCCCTGAAGCAGCAGCGAGTGAAGGAGAAGAGGAGATCTGCAGAATCTGCGTCATAAAAGGAAACCAGACCCTCCCCATAGTCCACAAACACCCCGACCTTCTGAGGAGCTCTCTGAGGAAACAGACGGACAGAAGGGACAGTACAAGCTTTGTACTCATATTTGTTTCTTAAGAT